TTCGGGATATCCTCGAGCAAGCGCACGACGACGCCTTGATCTTTTGGCCGCAGCCTGTTGGACTTTGCGCGAACCTGCACTAACGAGACGGTGCTAGAACCTCCATTGCTGTTGCCGAATGGTTGTACCAGCCTCCTCAGGCATACCAAACATGTAGGTGACCTGCTCACTAACGGCACCGCCATCGTCGTTAAGTTCGATTCGGAGGGGCGGGGGGCACGCGAGGGCCGAGCTGTTGTCTAACGGAATCGTAGTCCCAAGATAAATTTCCCATTGACTTGCAGCTCGGCGGATAATCTTCGGGGTAGTGGGGCTCGAGGCTAAGCGAATCTGGAACGCCCGCCAAGGCATCCAAAGGTTGAAAGCTCCTGTCCCACAGCTTCGAATAAGGGTGGTCAAGTACACAGTACTGAGTATCACATATCATGGCGGCCAGGTGTCTCTAGTGTTAATTAGATATTAAAGAATCTGCTAATCCAGCCCCAAACTATCAAGCCGGCCTTGGAGGTCCGTCGCTAGGGCGTCGACGATTGCCGTCTCAACAATCCCTTCTTGCCATCCAAACACGATGGGGGGGTTGGTGGTGGTGGTGGTGGCCGTCAGGAGTGGAGGGAGCATAAACGGACAGAGACGGGCAGTTCGGCCGCTAGCATGATTAGCAGCGCGAGCAGCACGGCGAGTCGGGTTGATCCGTTGAGGAAGCCGAGTCTGCAGGTGTTTGGGCCGGCGAATGAGTACAGGGGTGAGCAGTGGAGGGCGGGTTACGAAGGGAAAGGGGTGATGAGCAAGGTGTTTGATGAGACGGTCGTGGTGCAAAACAAGGCGTTGATGATGTGGCAGGACCGGACTGTCTTCTTTGCTCTGTTGTGGGGAGGGGTAGGGGCGGCGGCGCTGATGGTGGTGTCGTTGTTTCTGCCGAGTGGGAGGTTGTACTGGTAACGTAGCGAGCATCGCACATGTACCACGCCAGCACAGATGCAAGAACCGTATTCCTGTATTGGGCTATCAACATGAAGCTTTTGGGCCTTTTGGCCAACTTCCAATACTCGGGAATGCTACCTATCGGGGACACCGTTTGTCTCGGTCATCCTTCTGAAATGCATCAACAGACCTCTCATCCTAGCAGTTCCAGGATTAGCAATTAAGCGTATCGCCCATTACTCGTCCATCCACATGAAATCCAACATCATGCCTTCGTTGTTTCAAGAACCTTGCTATGCCATCCCCGATCATCCTTGTTGAGATGAACTTCATCCAACATCATATCGCGGCCATCCATCTCCCATTAGGAGTTAGCTTTCTCACGCCCATCCCTCGTCATGCCTATCCAATGCGTTAACCCATCCCACATAGGTATCATGATTACCCCCTGAAATATTCAAACTCCCCAAACGCCGTGTTCGCCGACCAAATGATCAAAGCCAAACAGAACCCGACTCCCAATAAGGCCAAACAGAACCCGACTCCCAATAAGGCCAAACCAAACCATGACATAAAAAGATGCAGTGAAGACAAAACGGGTGTCACTATAAAAAGACAGTGAAAATCAACATCACCGACACTAACCCCACGCCCATGCCGGCGATGGCCCTGTTCGCCGACGCAGGGTTCCTCGTCTCGGGCCCGTGGGATGCGCTGGTTGAGACCTCGTCAAGGTCTGGGTCAGGGTCTGGCCCAGACGACTCTGGCAGCTGAGGTGGCGGGTCTTGCGGGTCGCGGCTGGTAGCCCGTAGCGTGATGACGGGCAAGTTCTCTTCATGGTGGTCCGAATCTGAAGCCTCTCTCTGGACGGTGAGTTTTGGCTCTGTTCGGTTCTTCCGGCTCGGTAGGGCGATATTGAGTGTATCCAGGTCGACCGTGATGGTGTTGGCGCTGGGCGACTGTATTGAAGCTCCATCCGGGCGTGTGTCTTGTCTTTGGTATGGGGCAGCTGTTCGAGGTTTAGCTTCATGATCCAAGAGAGCTGCTAGCTAACCCCAACGCTGGCTTACTCTTCAAAATGACGTTGCCGTTAACGAGGACCTTGTCGCTGGCGACTGCGGCTCCGCCCCCAACCAGCAGGGCCGGTACAAGCCAAGAAAGCTTCATTGTTTTTATCTTCCTTCCCCCGGACCGCCAAGAGATGGATGAGTGGCCAAGCAACTGGCGAGAAGGGTAAAATGATGAATTAAAGACTGGGGATGCACCAGATTCATAAAAATTAAAAGATGCGATCCTCCAACCCACTCTCTGACCAACTGGCGAATCCTCGCCTGAAATTCGCCGATCAAGTCGTTCCTCTGCGCCGCAATGCAGTGCGACAGGGGTGCCGCGGTCGAGGGGCGTTGCCAAACAAACAGTGCAGTGTGCAGCAGCTCAAAAATAGGCAAGGCTGACCCGAGTGACACAGCCCGGTGAGACGAGTCAGTGTTGGTTCCTTCTCAGGCACGAATCCCCGCTGTTGGGATTTTGTGTGTATAATTGTGGAAAAACTGGAAGGCGAACGAGCGATAACGACGGGGAAGAAGGTGCGTTTTGGATTTTTCGAGCCTTGACGGGGCCGTCCGATTGCGACCAAGCGAGCGAGTGACTGGGTGGTCGTCGTGATCGAGATCCCCCCCAAAAAACTCTATCGTCATCCCAGGCCCAAATTGCCGTGTTCGGTGTTCAGCACCTTCCAAAAAGGAAGCCAAAATCCGCACCCGGTCAAAACCGTGGTATTATTCGCCCACGGGATGCTTTGAAAGAAGGGGACAGGAGCGAGAGCCGAGAAGAACTCGTAACATGGTAAGAGGAAAACAAAAAAGCCCAACCACACAAGTCCCGTCGAGGAGGCTGACATGCCACTTTTCAGCCGTTGAGAGCGGCCTGCATCCATTCGGTTTCCTTGGTTTGCGATATCTGCTATCTCGGCTGAAGATGGATCTCGATGCAACGCTATGCTTCCGCAATGGAATGGAATGCAGCCAAGCGGGTCAATCTAAGGCGCATGGGAGGCTGGACCTGCACTGACCTGCACCAGCCTTGGTTCGTGCAGTGGGGCCGTGTGGGACCGCAGCCCGGGCAACCCTCTTTGCAGCCCGCCGATCGCTGACGAAAGAGTGGGGGTTGTCTTGAGGGTGTCACAGAGTGTGGCACAAAAGTGGTCGAAGGTGGGATGAACCTCGTGTTGTCGAATCGGATGTGACCATATTCGGCATGCTCCCGTTTCTGACCTCCCAACAACAAACCGAGTTGTTGGTTGGACTTGCAGGTTGTTCGGCTGTCCTTGGAACCCTCTCCATGGCGTGCAGCATTCTGTCTCGTCTTGAAACGGCACTCCGGGCCGACTCGAATACCCCCCTCCAACGAACAAACCCGGCGTGTTCCCGTCCCCCTCGCGATGACGTCGCCAGCGGGAGGAATCAACGTTACGAATACCCGAGTCACTTGAGGGTCCCAGCAACCCTAACCTGACAACATCTCCCGACAAGATCCCGATTTCACCGTCAAAACACCACTACTATAGCTCGGCACTCGGGTCAATTGAAAGTTGGTTAGTTAACTATATACATGCTTATCAGCCCTCGCCGCCCAGCTACAACGGCCCCACCATAACATCATCAGCCCTCGGCGGTGACCATGTGCCCCCTTCATCCGAATTCGCGAAAAAACGAGGCACCCTCGAGGTGTTTCAGGGCGTGCTGTGCGCTGTCGTAGCTGCTCTGAGATGCATTCCTAGCTCTGGAAGCTACTTCTTCCTCGCTTCCGCCTTGGAGGATAGCGTTGAAGGCCTTGGCAATGGGGCTACCCGCACTTCCTGTACTGCTCCGGCTATCGCTGACATGCTGCGACCCGCTGCCGGAGCTAAGTATCGAAATGGAGCTCAATCTCCTGTCCACACCAAAGTCCCAGCTGTTGCCGCGACGCAGGCAGTGTGGCTCTGGCATGCCACACTCCTCGACGACGATTTGGCGGATTTTTTCTCGGACGTAGTCGGCGGTCGGACGGTCCGAAGGGTTGGTCGAGAGCATCTTCACCACCACTTCGAGGATTGGCGTGACACCCTTAAACACCGGATCGTCCTTTTCTGCGGCATCTTTGGCCAATTGGTCCATCCAAATCTCAACTTGGCGAGTGTTGCCGTGGAAGGAAGAGTCTGGGAGGGGGCTGCCACGGCCCGCGGCCCTGTGTTTTGCAGCTCGGTGTGCAGCGAACGCCCGCCCTTTCTTCCCGAACAAGAAACTGAGAAGCTCGAGGATTATGCAACCTAGCGAGAAAACGTCGGCAGCCTTGGGATTAGGTTCGGCCGCCTGGTGGCTGCTGCCGCCTGCCGCCTGACCGGGTGAGACTGTCGATGAGTGGGGTGAGTTGGGCACCTCCTCTGGGGCGCCATAGTCGTACGCCTCTCTATCGGATGACGTGCCTTCAGCGGTGTCGCTCAAAGCATTGATGTGCAATTGCGTAAACCCGGAGAGGAAGACGAAGTTGTCCTTCGAAAAGAGCACAGTCGAGGGTCTGATGTTTCCGTGCGAGCGGTCCTGGCCGTGGAACGAGCAGACGGTATCCGCCAGACAGAGTATCCAGTTCATGACTACCTGCGGGAGTACTTTCTTGTCGAGCTTCTTCAAAGAGCTGGGCATGGTGGTAAGGAGCGACTTGAGGCTGAACTCGGGAGCTGGTGTGAACAGGATGTACCCGTATCCCTGATGCGTGTAAGATGCCCAGTACGACAACATATGCTCGTTTTGCAAGCCCCTTATGCCGTTGATCCCAGACCTAAACTCTGCCCGGTCGACATAGTCAGTACCAAGACGGATCTGACAGCGGCAAAACACTCTCTCGGGCTGGTTCGGTAGGGTGACCTTGTCGACATGGCGACCTTGTCCTGCAATCTGCTTCGCCTCAATATAGAACGGAACCAATTCTGGGTCTGCATAGTCGATATGGCTAGCCTTGTCCAAGTGGCGCAAGAGGTACTTGTATTGCCGACCGTGGAATTTCGTTTCCATCCTTTCGTTCTTGGTGGGTGTTAATTTCAGATGTTGTACTTCTTTAAGTGAGAATGGGAGATCGTCATCGTCGTACGCCATTTCGATGAGCTCAAAGATCTGGTTTGGAAATCCCACGTCATCGAGCCAGAGGAATAATTTCTTGCAGCTTGAGTCTATGAACTCCCAGTAAGTTCTGTCAGTTAAGGCCTCGCCAAAGCTGGGCATTTGATCGAGGCGCTTGGCCTCTTGGGGTTTGAGCCGGCCTTGAACAAACTGTTTCGTTACAGTTTGCTCGATCGTGTTTGCATCCCACCACATGGTAAGAAAGAGAAGAGTAATTTTTGGTGATCAGAAAGATTGAAGTAAAAGTGACTGCCGATCGACTCATAGAAAAAGTAGATAGGAGAGACTCTTGATTCAAAAAAAAAGCGAAAGGAAATGGTGGGAAATGGAATACCAACTGGTGGAGATTGCCTCAGGCAAAGCCCATGTGAAACAGATGTAAACAGCTGGGTGCCTGCCGACTCGCCTCTATATCAATGGATAAGGTAGCAGGTTTCCAGGTTCCCTAGAATTTTGGAAAAAGGACCGCACCTGCCCAATGTTCCAGGATCATCCAATTTTTCACATGGTGACCCTGGAACCACACGCTCTCATTACCACTATCACGTCTTCCTATCCTTGATATTAGACATATTCTCGGAGGGCCACGGCTGTAAGAAACAAGGATCTCGTGAGATCTTCCCAATAGAAACAAAATTTGAGTTCCCATACGTCTTTAAATTTAGTGTCTCGTGGTTAGGCTCAGAACCCTTTAACTGCGAATGCTAGAGGCTGTGCGGGAAGGAACGCTTGGGACCAAATTCTATCACTGGCAACTGCCGACCTAGGCACTTTCAAGTTCCTCATCTTTATTGGCCGACCCTATTACGGCAACTAGCAACTGGCAATTATCGGCTTCCAGCTTCTTTCTTCTTTCCATGCCACCTGCCTCTGCTGTTTCTCGCCATCTGTGCTCCTTTCACCCGTATTGTGATGCTCAACTTATAATCTCCCGATAGACAGACGTATCAGAGCCATCTGAGCATGGGACCGAGAGCAGATCACGCTAACGCATTATATACATCCGGAATTACTAGAGTATCAGCTGAGCTACCTTGGGCATGTGTGATACGGATACGCAAACTAGTGAATTGAGCGTGTTGTCAGGGTCCAAGGGGCGGCCTTCTCACGCCATCCCGTCCCATGGGATCCCTTCTACGTCATTGAGTCGCGTCTACTAAACCCATAAAAGTTCCTTATGCAATCTCACGGCTTTATCCTGTCCCAACGGCGTCCCTGTACCTCTTTTATATGGAGGCCGGTACATCCTTCCATTTTAACCTCTATGTCGTACACGATCGTCGAGACACTACACAGCTTTAATTTTAGCGATAGCACCTGCCTATGGGCTAAAAAATCTAGATGCTGTCGTCAATATTGCCTTCCTTGTTTCTGATGTGAAAATGGCTGGGCCCGCTCCTTAGATCAGCCAGGGGATCCCGCCGATGTAAACTGTATGCTAAACGGCTCAACGATCCAAAACTGACCAATTTCGGCTTTTTGCTGTCCTCGAGCATGGTATTCACGAGGTTGACGTTATCATTGCTGTGCCCAGGCTCTAGAACGTGGAAGTTGTCCGGTGCCACTATCAACCCAAAAATGATTCAGTTCATGATGTGGCCCTCTTTCGAGGATCGTGGCATTTTCAGCGCTTAAATCATGCGGAAACCTGGAATATTGTGGGGATCCAGCTTACGGGAACGCTGCTCACTGCTCGCTTTATACAGCTACCTAGAGTTACATGTGTGTGTATCTGCCTCCTTATATGCCTCGTCTCCAAATACAATTACATCTTTTCGTACCCCACATCGCGTTCATCTGGCGCCGGCGCCAGTCTTTATCCCGCCATCCCTAAAACCCCTGTATTAAAGGCCCTTCCTTCTTCTCTTTCGCCGACCCTCTCCTCCCCACAAACGACTTCATAGCCGTATCCACGCCGGCCACCTTCCTCGCCACCGCCTGGAGCCCGACGGGCAGCACGTTATACCAATCAATCCAGCGTGCATACAGCGGCATGCCGATGGCGGCGTTCCTCCCGTTGTCGATGGCGGCAATCACCTCCTTGGCGACGTCGACGGGCTCCACCACGGGGGCGAGGAAGCGGTTCGGGGTCTGCACGCCGTAGAAGAGCGGGGTGCTCAGCTGGCCCGGGGTGACGAGCACAGTGCGGATCTGCGGGTGCGACGCGCGCAGCTCGGCCGTGAGCGAGCGGTGCAGCGCCGAGATGCCGGCCTTGGCCGCCGCGTAGTCGGTTAGGTGCGCCGCGCCCACCGTGCCGATGACCGACGACACGGTGACCACGGTGCCGCCAACCTCGCTGCGTGCCATGGCTGGCAGGAAGGTCTTGAGCGTGTAGAAGTGGCTGACGAGGTTGGTGGTGAGGGACTTGTCGATCTCGGGGAAGGTCATGGAGAGGAGGGGCTTGCCGATGACGATGGCCGCGTTGTTGATTAGGATTGTGGGAGTGCCGAGCTGGAGGGGTGGGAGTTAGTATGGTTGTGGGATAGATAGGGCATGAGGACGGGAACACATACATCTTTCTCAATCTTGGCTGCCACCTGCGCGAGCTGGTCCTTGTCTGTCACGTCGCACTTGTAGTATGTGACACCTCGCGCCTCGCCATTCTCCATTTCCGCAACGTCCAGCACGGCGACCGTGGCCCCGCGCATCCCGTACACCTCAGCAATCAGCAGGCCCAGCCCGCTGGCGCCGCCCGTGATGACGATGACCTCTTCGCTCAGATCCACCTCGCGCGGCAGGCCAAACGCCAACCTGTTGTTGATAGCCCCGGCGATCCAAGACAACGAGATAATGGAAGCCCAGGCAATCGACACCAGCATAGGCGGCGCGTCCCAGAACATGTTCTGGGCGCGGAAGCAGAGCGGGACGATCCATGCGATAAAGGGGTGGAAGAAGCTGGTCTTGAGGACCTTGACGAAGAGGTCTATCGAGAGCGGCGCGAACCAGGAGTCGCGCTGCGGCGGAGTGGCATATGGCGGCATTGTGAGCTTGGCTGCTGTGTTTCGAGGTAGGTTGAGATTCGCGGTGGTTCAAGCTTCGAATGCGATTGATTGCAATGATGCCGATTGTTGCTAGTGGTACAACGTCGCGCCGTTCTATTATCGAATTATAGTGATATATTAAAAGTATACCGAAGAGAAAGGGCGCCTGGCGTTCTTCAAACTTATTGCATAGGTAGTTGAGGGGAGAGAAACAAGCTGACGATGGTTTCGACTGCTTGGGGCACAGCTTTGCGGCATCTGATGTGGCCTTTCGTGCACATGCAGTCGACAGCAGTGGCTGTGAAACACCCCTGGTCTGAGCACCAGACCCCTCGCTGTCAAAATGTTCCAATTGGAGCCGCTGGCATTCCCCTGCAGATTCCAGCGCAATCGTGCGGCTGGCCAGATCTCATGGCGGGGCCAGCGGAGCCGAGACGGAAGTCGGAGACGGCAGGCGCCGACTTCTGACAGCTCCAAAATCACCGAATGATCCACGGCGACACGCTTCACAACCGACTCGGCATAGTAATCGTATCTCTCGTTCGCAACGGCAGTAGACTCGGAGTCGGATAAACGGGCAATGCACAGCGGATCATAGCATCACGAACGACGGCCACGAGGTCTGCAATGTCGAGATCGATGAGTATCGCAGAAGAGCCCCTGAATATCTGTCATTTCTCGCCCATCAGAGGACCACGAACACTCCGACGATATCTA